CCCCCCCCCCCCCCCCCCCCCCCCCCCCGCTCACAGACCTTACGTTACCCTGCAGGGGCTTGCTGGGAGGCCCCGGCCCCCACACCTCCAGCCCAAGGAGCTCGGCCCAGCGGGAGTCATGAATTCAACCCAGTCGGTCCCAGGAGCGCAGTGGGGGACCGGGAACGGACAAGGGCAGGCTGGGCAGGTCTCCCGCGGGACCTGGCGTCTGCAGTGGGCTTCGTGTGGACCTGCCTCGCAGACGGAGGGCCGCAGGCAAGTCACCCCAGGATTAGACCATGAGCAAACGTGGAGGGCGGAAGGCGCCTCTGGAGGTGCCGCTGAAGCCTGGGTTCGTCAGAGGCCTTGAAGCAAGTGCAACGGCTCCTCAAGGCCTACTGCTGACAAGATTCTATTTATTTATCCGACAGAGAGAGCACGAGCAGGGGGAGCGGCGGCAGAGGGAGATGCGGACTCCCCGCGGAGCAGGGAGCCCGATGCGGGACTCGATCCCAGGGCCCCGGGATCATGACCCGAGCTGAAGGCAGACGTTTAACCGGGCTGATCTTATTGAAGACTGGGACGATTTGGTCAGATTTTAACTCTGTTTCGTGCAGTGTGAGTCTCTCCATCTTTTATTGCGGCTGCCCGCTGACCCCTCCCCGGCCTCCCGCCCAAATATGGCGAGCCCCCTCTATGGAGGCCGAGACACTTCCGCCCCCTTCCGCAGTGACTTCCGCCCGGCTCGGCCTGGCAGGGGTCGCCGCCGCCGCCGCCTGGGCCGCAGTCACGCACCACTGATGGCCCCAGGGCGCTCCAGCAGGGCTCTGATAGGATGCCGAATAAAGCTCACCGTGAAGCAAGTCCCACTGGACGAAAATTTGGTCGTAGCATTCCTCAGGTAAGAGAAGCGGCACCAGCGCCCGTTTGAGCGGGCCGTCTGCCTCGGCCGCCATGTTGCCAAATTAGCTTCCGCCTGTCCGGGTCGCCATTGACCCACGCTGCGCATGCGCGCTCTGGGCCCTCCGCCCCGCTGCTCCCCGCTCTTTCTAACGCCACCCCATCTTCAGCAGCGCGAAATAGGTCTCGGCCAGAGACCACGTTTCGGAAGCACCATCCCTGTTCGCGTTTTACGGCACGCTCAAGCTTGCGCCTGCGCAGTTCCGTCTATCGCGCCTTTGTTTACGCTTCCAGTTCGGAGGCAACACTGAGCCTCCTGCCTTTCTCCGCTCTTCCTGCGCGGCGCCATCTTGTCTTCCCCTGGCCGACTCCACCTTGCTCGAAGTTGAAGGAGAAGGAGCAGGAGTCTCGGGAAGGGCGTTGAGTGGGGGCGCCGTGGCTCCCTCTTTCCTGTTGTCTCGGCGTCTCCCGAGGGAAGGGCGTCGGCGGGAGCAGGACCGCCTGCGCCAGTTAGCCCTCCGGAGGTGCCGCGCTGCGCGCGGGCCCGCGTTCCTCCCTCCCCGGCTCGCCCGGGGCCCTGGCGGTTGGGTGCGCCCGCAGCTGCTGGGCAGGGGCGAGGAGGCGGTGGGGGAGGCGAGCCCCCCGGCCCGAGGGTTCCCTCCCACGCCGCCGGCCCCTCCGCCGAGCGAGCCCAGCGGCGAGGCCCCGGGCCCAGCAGCTCCCCTTGGGAGAGGCCAGCGTGGACAGCGATGCCCCCCGCCCCCCGCGCTGGGCCCCCGGCTGCCAGCCATCCCGGTGGAGGCGGGCCTGGCCGTGACGCCCCGGTGGCCCGGCCCCGCTGTCGAGCAGCAGTTCTTTGCCAGTTAGCGAGGTCACACGGGATGTCCGGGGACGCGGTGGGGTGGGCCTCCGGCCTTGCAGGGCCCCCGCAGCTGGACGGGCCCCACCCTGGCTTCCCGGCGATTGCACCGCGGCCTACTGTAACGCGGGGCAGCTGTCCTGGGGCGGCCACGCGCTCCCTGTAGGCACACCCCCGGGGCAGGGGGCCCAGGCCGGAGGCATGCTGTTCCTGGGGGAGCCCAGGGCGATTGGGGGTGGAGGTGAGAGTCCCCACGGCTGCCCCGGCTGGGATAGGAGCATCCCTGGTGCGGTGAGGGTTTAATCGGCGTGCTCACCCAGCCCTGGACGCGGTGGGCAGGGCAGAGCGTTCGTGTTGCTACGGAGCTCGCACAGGAAGGTGTGACCTTCCCACCCCCACTCATTGGCCATTGCTACCTGCTTCACCTCTGAGTGCGAAACCGGCTTGGAGGGCGAGGGGTACTGGAGCAGCCAGAGGCCCGGGAGGAGGAGGAAGGGGCCGAGGCAGATACGACGCCAGCTGTGCTAGGCTTTGGGGGACGAACTGACGAGGGCATGTGGTCACCCGTGACGGTCTGGCTCCCTGAGACTCAACCACGGACGGCGCAGAAAGGCGTGCGACTGACACTCAGGGCTTTTAATCCTGGCAAGAAGGGCAGGGAACACCGAGGACAGAGGTTGGAGCAGGTTTTAGTATTCTGGGGCCGGGAGAGGAGAAACTGCGCACGTTTAATGAACATCTTAGCTCCACTTTTGCTCCTGAAGACGGAGAGGGAAGGTAACTTTGGTGCTGAGTCGCTTGAGTGGTGAGAACGCAGGGCTCTGCGGTGTCACCTGGTACTGGACCCGGTGCTCAGAGGGGCTGGTAGGCCGGTGGCCGTCTCCGGACGATGCAGAATGTAACCAGCAGCAGGGTGAGGAGGCCCAGCGAGATCAAGCCGATGATGAGGGGCAGCAGGTTGAACTGGTCGCTGGGACAAGAGAAACCTGGCAGAGAGGGAGGGCCGGCAGGAATCGGGGTGGAGGCCGCGCCCAGATGGGAGGAGGGAGGAAGGCGTCGGGGGGGGGGGGGGGCGTTGGGAAGTAGGAGATTGGCGGGGAGCTTCCCTAGAAGACTCCGAGCAGTAAGGAAAAGGGCAGAGGGGCGGAGTTGCGGAGGAAGCAGGACAGTTGACAAGCCTGAGAGAGGAAGGGCGGTTATGGGCCCGATGACACGGGGGGGGGGGGGGGGGGGGGGG